ACTCTTACATACATATATACATACACACACACACACACACACACACTAATCATACTGAAGTCTCACTATTATAACTACCTCCTATGAAACTATCCAGTGAACACTCATACATTTCTTGCATTCCTCAATGACAACTTTCCCAATTTCCTCAACTTGGTGACAATTACAATATGAATGTTGTTCAAACTTATAATTCTAACCCTTATAGGTTTGTGCAACACCAATCTGTGCCAGACTTCCCCTTCATGATCACCAACTCTACTTAGTCTGCCTAGGAACACCTCATGTGCACCCTCTTTCTTTAGAATTCCCTTAATCATATTAACTGCTGCACCCAGACCCTTCAAACTGTTCGATGTTAAATAAATATATATATAAAATAAAGTGTCCAAGAAAATATATATTAAATTGTGTGCAAAAAATATATAAATATAAATAATAATAAAAAATATATAATAAAAAGTCCTTCTTCCAAAAAAAAGTAAAATAAATTCAAAACAATCTTTTCCCAAAAAAAGTGCTTCCACCATTCACCAGTGTACAATCAACATCAATCGCACTCACCAGATATTGGTGAGTATTGTGCCTTGTAGGATTTTAGGGATCCTAAACCCCCTCTATATCCACCAGAGCTCCTTATCCACCTTTTATGGCTTGATATTCTCCTTCCACTTACTCCTAATAAGAGCTCCACAGCGGTGCAAAAAAGAAAAATACCATAGTGTGATATTGCTAATACCATATGCAGTATTAAAATAATACCAAGCCACTCACATGTTCAAACTTAGCAAAAAGCATTGATTTATTGCCTTCATTGGCTCACACAGATCCACATAACCACAGTTCAATCCAGAGACCTCATAGCCTTTTGGTTTGCAGAGGATAACAGAACACAGCTCCAACAACATAGATGGCCGCCTGAAACGCTCAGCGTGCGTTCCACTCACCGGAAGTGACACAGGACGTATGGACGGCAGACCGGAAGTACGTCGACACGTTTCGCCCCTCCCACAGAGCATTCTCAAAACATCACTTCCAGTCATCAGCTGCTTTTTATACAGCACAGGATCCCTCCCCTCTTCTCCCATATGTTAATTACCCATATGATGCTTACTCCTTCACTGTCATCCTCTGCTCACCAACGTGAGATTCCTTCACACTTGGTAAACCGATATATGGTTCAACAAAAATTCTTTAGACCTTTATTATTATTAAAAAACAATATCATAAGAATAACTACAAGATCAATTGACCAATGATCAAATTATTATTATTATACAGTATTTATAAAGCGCTAATGGTTTGCTCAGTGCTGTACATTACAATGGGAGACAATACATGAAACAGTACAATAACAATACAATGCGATACACGAGGGGTTCGAGGGCCCTGCTCCTTGGAGCTTACAATCTATATAATCACATAATTATATATTTAAAACAGAGGAATTTCCACAAAGCAATATAGGTTGCAAATCCACATATAATGTGTGCTCATCCATGATCAATGTACACTAAATGTACACACACATATGTGCACATACCTGCACTACAAAAACAGAAATATAAATACATAATAAAAATTAAAAAAGAAAGAAAGAAAGACTAAATAAAATAAAATTAAAAAAAAAAATTTAAAATAAACATAAAAATAAGAAATAAAAATAAAAAACAAAAAACAAACAAAAAAAAAAAAAATGTAAATAAAAAAGAAATAACAATAAAAAATACATTTGAAAAAAAAAAATATATAAAAAAAAAAATTTAAAATGAAAAATGAAAAAAATGAAAAATATAATTAACCATATCACCCCCTTTCCATGGGACATCTATCCCACAAAACCTTAAAGATATCGGATCCCTATTATGATATACTCTGAAATGGTGTGACAAGCTGTGATATTTAAATCCTTTCTTAATATTTCTAATGTGTTCTCCCAATCTCACAGAATTTCCTGGTAGTTCTACCTATATACTGGAAGTTGCAAGAGCATTTCAGCAGATAGGTAACATGGGTGCTGTCATACGATATGAACTTCTTGATTTTATATATGAACCATTGGAACACAATTGGAAACTATCATAGTGTCTTTTATTATCACCTTTCAGTTTTTTACCTGCTATACACCTTTTTTACACTTAAAAAATCCAACCCTATCCAAGAAAGTCACCACCTTCCTAAGTACATCAGTAACATTTTTTACTAGTCTAGTTCTTAATGTTGGTGGCTTCCTATAAATGAACATGGGCTTCCCAGGTAGCATTTTACTAAGGACTTCATCCCTTTTTAAAATCGGCCAGTACTTTTTGATGATCTTTTCAACCAGTTTAAATTGACTCCAGTAACCTGTAACAAAAGTCAGATCCCCTACTTTTCTATTTTGTTCTTTCTTCACCAGCAAATCGTCCCTCTTGATGTTTTTTTAACCTGTTCTAAAGAGCAGGCTAGAACTTCTTCTTTATATCCTTCTCTCTAAACCTGTTTAGCAACATATCTGATTGACTTTCAAATATGCTGTCATCATCACAATTCCGTTTCAATCTAATAAACTGACTCTTGGGAATAGATTTTAACCAGTTCCTATGATGGCAGCTGTGACTCTGAATGTATCCATTCCTGTCAACCTCCTTGAAATGCGTTTTTGTGCAAAATTTATCACCTTGTTTATAAACCGTAAGATCTAGAAAATCTATTGCTTTTTCACTGATATTATTAGTAAATGATATATTAAAAGGGTTATTACCCATCTCCTGGATGAATTGTTCCAATCCTTCTCTAGTGCCTTTACATATTATAATAATATCGTCTATAAAACCTTCTATATACTAACTGTTACTGGAGTCAATTTAAACTGGTTGAAAAGATCATCAAAAAGTACTGGCCTATTTTAAAAAGGGATGAAGTCCTTAGTAAAATGCTACCTGGGAACCCATGTTCATTTTATAGAAAGCCACCAACATTAAGAACTAGACTAGTAGGGCTCTGAGGAAGAGGCAAGTCCTCGAAACGCATCAGCCTATTGGATGTCTACACTCCCTATTGCGGACTGTTACTCAGCGCGGTGTTCACCCAGCTGTTCTTTTATGATGTGCCTTGACTTTATTGTCGTTTGTGAGTACAACACCTACTATATTTCTTATTAAACATTTTTTATGGTAATGCACTGTTGTTTGTTCTTTCCTCATTCAGTATATTTGGATTCTCCCCGGTCTATTTGAGGGCAGCAAGTGTGCATGTTCCAGGACATTCTTAATGTGGTTGTAGCCTGCATCAAGTCCATCCCCAAGCGCAGGAGCATTTGTGTTTGCTGGATCTTTAAGGTTTCGTGGGATAGATAAGATTGATGTCCCATGGAGAGGGGGTGATATGGTTAAAAGTATATCACAAAATGAAACTAAATGGATCTACCAAATGGGAATATTAAACCCTAAGGGGTTAAATGCAGAGATCAATATAAATTGTATCTTATCTAATTTGTAAAGGACCTTAGTGCAAATTATATTTTTCATTTTAAAAAAAAAAAAAATTTATATATATTTTTTCAAATGTAGTTTTATTTCTATTTACATTTACGAAAAAACATTTTTTTTTTGTTTGTTTTTTGTTTTTTATTTTTTTGTTTATTTTCATTTTCATTTTTTTTATTTAAATTTTATTTTTATTTAGTCTTTCTTTCTTTCTTTTTTTAATTTTTATTATGTATTTATATTTCTGTTTTTGTAGTGCAGGTATGTGCACATATGTGTGTGTACATTTAGTGTACATTGATCATGGATGAGCACACATTATATGAGGATTTGCAACCTATATTGCTTTGTGGAAATTCCTCTGTTTTAAATATATAATTATGTGATTTGATCATTGGTCAATTGATCTTGTAGTTATTCTTATGATATTGTTTTTTAATAATAATAAAGGTCTAAAGAATTTTCGTTGAACCATATATCGGTTTACCAAGTGTGAAGGAATCTCACATTGGTGAGCAGAGGATGACAGTGAAGGAGTAAGCGTCATATGGATAATTAACATATGGGAGAAGAGGGGAGGGATCCTGTGCTGTATAAAAAGCGGCTGATGACTGGAAGTGATGTTTTGAGAACGCCCTGTGGGAGGGGTGAAACGCGTCGAATACTTCCGGTCTGCCATCCACGCGTCTTGCGTCACTTCCGGGTGAGTGGAACGCAAGCTGAGACCGGTGCGTTTCAGGCGACCATCTTTGTTGTTTGGAGCTGTGTTCTGTTATCCTCTGCAAACCAAAAGGCTGTGAGGTCTCTGGATTGAACTGTGGTTATGTGGATCTGTGTGAGCCAATGGAGGCAATAAATCAATGTTTTTAACTTTGAACATGTGAGTGGCTTGGTATTATTATTTTGAATTTATTTCACTTTTTTTTGGAAAGAAGGTCTTTTTATTATATATTTTTTATTTTTATTTATATATTTTTTGTACACATTTAATATATATTTTCTTGGACACTTTATTTTATATATATTTATTTTATATTTTTTATTGATTTATATATTGCTTTTGTTTATTGATGTTATTTATATGGTGAGGAGGTTTTTTGATTTGCGCTGTTTATATATTATTTTTATCAATTGGTGTATTGCACCGGTGCACAGCAGCATACTTTTACTTTTATCACCAATTGTAAGGTTTTCCTGTGCACTGGCATTTGTGATATATAAACTGTTTGATGTGCCTTAAAAGCAGAATTAAAGATTAAAAAAATGTAGCAGGTAGCGTTTTTTTTTTTAACACTGCACACTGCAGTGAACTTTTTCTGTACAGTGCCAAGTGTAAGAGCCAGGTACTAGTACGTTATATCTGTCATCAACGTTCAGCATCCGTAATGTAACATTCCTATTATACACACAGGTGGCAAAGCATTTGATCACAACTAAACAGTGCAAAGTTAAAATTTTGCTATATATTTAAAATACTGGAATTCTGTTATTTTTTTAAAATTATTTCTAACTGGCTCTCAATTTTATTTGCAGGTTGATCCAACAAAAGAAATATACTGGGCCCATGTCAGTTCAGATGCCTGCAGGTTAGCATTACTTTGGAAACATGGTGGCATTTACATGGACACTGATTTCATATCACTTCGACCCATACCACATCACAACTTTCTGGCTGCAGAGTCAAAGCAGTATTCTAGCAATGCTGTTTTAGGTTTCTCTTCCCACCATGAGTTCACCTGGAAATGTATGGAAGACTTTGTTAAAAATTATCGTGGTGAAATATGGGGCTCCCAAGGGCCATTATTGTTTACTCGTATTCGAAATCAGTTTTGTAATATGGCTTCCTTTAATGGAAAAGAGGATTTTATGTGTGGCAATATCACTATCTTGAGCCCTGAACATTTTTATCCTATTTTACTCGCATCATTCAATCGGTACTATGAAGTTTGGGACAAGGAACCGACCTTTGACATTTCTTATGCTCTGCATCTCTGGAATTTTGCAAATCAAGGGAATCATAGGAAAATAGTCCCTGGAAGTAACACACTGGTGGAGCATCTATACCAAAAGAATTGCCCTTCAGTTTATACTGAATTAGCTAGAGAAAAGACTCCTGTATAAAGAGAAATTACTGTCTTTTTATGTATTAGAGATATAAAAACAATTTCATATCACAGAGACACCTTAGTTTTTCAATCAGGCTTTGGGAGGTACATAAGTGGCCTACACCATGACCAACTTTGGTCAGAGTTGCACAGTTTGTTTTTATCTACAAACACTGCTTGCCCACTTAAGCAGTTTTTTGGTAAAAGTGAACTATGCCTTCAAGGTTTTGGTTTTTAATCAAAAATTGTTGATTGTGATGTTTTTATAGGCATTACGCTTGTGGTGCGGTGTAAAATCTCCTGCTTGCAGCATCTTTGGGGAATGTTTGGGGAGTTAAAAAAAACCCCAAAAATACTTCACTTGAAATAAATTGATTTTTTCTGTGTTTTTTTGCGTTTTTTTTTTTTCCAACAATCATACGAATCCAGGTGGATGCAGCATTGGTCCAATGCTGCATCTGTCCCCCGGCGGTTCTAAGGGTGAGAACTCAGTGATCACATGACCACTGCCTGCTGGGTTCTCACAGCTGTTCTGAGCAAAGAGTGGTGACTGTCAGAGGGTTCCCCCGCTGATAGCTGAAATGTAAACACATCCCAGCAATTGGAGCTGTCAAGAAAAAAAAAGCACCCTTGCCCCCCTGCGTGCGCAAGCGCTGACCCCGTGCCGGTATGTAAACAGTGGTTGCACCATGCATGTGAAGTATTGACGCAAATGTCAGATCGAGGGCAGTGATTCTAGCATTAGACTTCCTGTGTAATTATAAATTGGTGACCTATAAAGGCTTTTAAAGCATCGCCTATCGATAATACAAATGTATGTACTTTGTTGCTTTGTTTGCATGGGCATGTGCAATTTTAAATAGACAAACAAACGAAACCAGCACTCCAATCCTCATGCAAACTAAAAGAAATTCAAGATGCCAGACAAGGAGGTACTGCCCTTCAAAGATCGGAAATCTGAATACTGGTAAAAAAGAGCAGACAAGGGCGCACTCTCATCGTGCATTACGTGGTAAACCATGTATTTATTAAATAGACAAATGGATGTATACTCACAAAACAACGAAGATAAAAGCAGTGTATGTACTTTTGTTTAGCTCTTAGGAAGGGGGTATATCTCCTGAAACACGTTAGCTCATCCTATCTAGGACACAGCAATTGTGTGACTGTTACTGCGGACTACATACACTGCTTTTATCTTCGTTGTTTTGTGAGTATACATCCATTTGTCTATTTAATAAATACGTGGTTTACCACGGTAATGCACGATGAGAGTGCGCCCTTGTCTGCTCTTTTTTACCAATGTGCAATTTTAAAGCATGTCATGTTTGGTATCTATTTACTCAGCGTAACATCATCTTTTATATTTTATCAAACAATTGGGCCATATATTGTGTTTTTGTGCATTAAAAATTCTAAAAAGTGTATTTTTCCCAAAAGATTTGCATTTGAAAGATCACTGCGCAAATACTGTGTGACGTAAAAAATTTAAACACCCACCATTTTATTCTCTTATGGCTCTGCTTTAAAACAATATATAATGTGTAAGTAATTTTCTAGCAAAAAAACAGTTTTTTGCACGTGAACAAGAAGTATTAGAAAAGGCTTGGTCTTCAAGAGTGGGTGATGTGTGGCATAAGCTTCTAATGTTGGCCCTGAACTGCCAGGATAATAGAAGCTCCAAGTTATTTGCTAAAAGGCATGTCTCAGTTGTTGCCACATTTTTGGAAAACAAAGAAGGGAAACAAAAAAAAATTATTTTTTTTTCTTTTTGAAAACCCTGTGACAAAAGTTATATCTGTAAAATACTCACCATGCCTCTTATCAAATTCCTTGGGGTGTCTACTTTCCAAAGAGGGGTCATTTGGGGGGTGTTTGTACTATCCTGGCATTTTAGAGCCTCCGACACTGTAGTAGGTAGTGGGGAAGTGGTATGAGGAAATATGCCCTTTGAAAGCCTGGAGGTGGTCATTAGATTTTGGGGGCTTGTATGTAGCTAGGCTGCCAAAAAGTCTCTCCCCATACGCTGCTTTCCTCAATACCACTCTCAGGTCACATTCCCATCAGGACCATGTTATTAAGACACAAGCAGAAACATCCTCCATAGTGCAATAACGTTTAATTTGCCAATATAACAAGATAAGATGAATATTAGCCCCACTCACATTTATCTCCTTCATGTAATGGGTGTACTGCATGGTGTACCAATATGGCGTCCAACCAGAAGTGCGTCACCAGAAGTTGTGTACCGATGCATTTCGTCACGTTACCACGTGACTTCATCAAGGTAGTCAGGTGGTAACGTGACGCAACACGCCGGTGACGCACTTCCGGTTGGACGCCATATTGGTACACCATGCATACACCCATTACGTGTAAAAGCGTTTTATGAAGGAGATAAATGTGAGTGGGCTAATATTCATCTTATCTTGTTATATTGGCAAATTAAACGTTATTGCACTATGGAGGAGGTTTCTGCTTGTGTCTTAATAACATGGTCCTGATGGGAATGTGACCTGAGAGTGGTATTGAGGAAAGCAGCTTATGCGGCATCTCCACCTGGATGGGATTATTCTTGTAAGGATCGTGGGGTGATCCTAAAAAGGCCAGTTGGCCCTTGTGGTCAAGGTTTGGAGGTGAGGGGGCATTTCTGTCATTTGGAGGATTTTTGTCACCAGAGTGAAGATCACCTGATCACGAGCACTTGTTTATATGTCTAAAAGACCACAGTCTTCATAATTGGACATTATTTGAGTTTTTATTGTTTTTATTCACATATGCGTGTTTGTATGGTCATTTCACGGGTTTTGCTGAAATTTTGTTTAATTTATGTTAGTCAATTTGTATTGGCACTGTACACGTTTGCTTTTTTCTCTTCAATATAAGGGAACACATATTTTTCACTTATAGTCCCCTTTAGGGACAGGGGGAGTTTTGTGTGTTTTTTTAAGGGATTCACTTCATTTTGAACAGATCATCCTGTTTTTTTCACTTAAGTGCACCTGAGTGGATCCATTTGGATCAGAGCACTGTGTGTATATTATAATATTCAATATTATATTTTATATGTGTGTTATTATAACCATTGGTACGCTTTAATAATATTAGTTGACACTTTGTACATATTAGGATTATCGCTTCACTATTTAGTTATTTTATGTTCTTCCACCTATTAAGGCCAAGTCAGGTGATAGCAGCTCTTTATTTGTAGGTTACCCATATAAGCGCAGAAGGATATATCCAGTTGAGTGATGTGGGGTAGATTTTGCCTTTTATTTCTTTGAGGATATTTTTATAGGGGGGGTGGTAGGGAGAGTGTAGTAATGTGATGTGTTTTAGGGAGAGGTGGGTACAGGGCCTGTGCTTCCACTAGGCAAACTAGGCAGCCACCTAGGGTGCACTGCCAGCCGCACAGACCAGCACCCTCTCTGTGTGGGACGCCGCCATGTCATGAATGATACTTCAGCTAAGAGGAAGGGCAGCAGTAGGGTTGCCACCTCTTCCCTTTAAAACCGAACACAATAATTACACAGGTTTTGGGGATAATTTATTACAGACAAGGCATTAAGTGAGTTTAACTACCACCTTAATCAGCCACAGAACCTGTGTAATTAATATGTGTGTTCAGTTTTAAAGGGATGAGGTGGCAACCCCAGGCAACAGAGGGAGGAAGAAAAGGGCAGAGGAAGATGCCAGGTGTCTGGGACCTGTGTAGCAGTTGAGCTGGTGCTCCTTCCAGTGTTCCTCTCAGACTCAGTCCCTTACTACAAGCCGGCTGGCTGCTGCTAATTACTGTGGGATTCCAGCCCTTCTCTTCCCATTCATCAGCGGAGGTGGAGCTACACCTGAGGATGAAGGTAATGTCTGACTCTGATGTCTCATGTCTGTGTGGGTGCGACCCAGCTGGCCATCCATCACATGTGCAATATGTCAGTGAGTGATGAAATCATCACAATCCCACAGCCTGCTCTTCTAGTACTTTTTTCTAGTACCTTCTGGGCCTTCTGATCTGTATCAGTGTTGGTAGTGGTGTGTTGTTTGAATCTGTCACTGTGTGGGATCACTCAGTTCAGCTGCCTGCTGTCACAGTGTTTTGTTTCCCCCCCATTGCCTGGAGAATTCCAGCCTGGGATCTGTCAGAGTGTGGATCCATCATCCTCCACTCACTGCAACTGTCAGCCTGCCACTGTCAGCCACAGATGCAGTCTGTCCATGACACTGATTTTGTCTTTAATATTGGTGCTGGTGGCATCTTACGGCACTTACTTTTGCAAATTAAAAGAAATTTAGAAGTTTCATGTTTATTTAATATTTTCTACTGTTTTTACAAACTTTTATTCTTTTTTTGGAGGGGGGGGTGCAAGTAGCTGGTCTTTCCTAGGGCACAAAATACTCTAGCACTGACCCTAGGTGGGTATACATTGTGAAGGGAGGAATGGTTTTTGGGTTTCATTATGTTTGCTGAGTAAATGTGGCATTATATGATTTGAAGTTTTTTGTTTATAATTATGTTGTTGGAAAAGACCTGTTAATTTTATATTTTGAAAGGTTAATAAAAATAATGAAAAAAAAATCTGAGCACTAAACTATCGTCTTACAGTCTCTGATGACGTGCTCCATAGGTGGGCAACATTTGAAACAAATTCTATTCTTTAGAAACGTCTTACATTCCTTGAAGGGCTTGCCTTTGAACATGCAACAGGATGTGGTTTGTGGTGGATGAGACAGTAGTAGTTTTCTTCCTTCCTTCCACCCGCCCACCCTTCCTTCCTTTCACCCACCTTTCTTTCCCACCTCTTCTTTCCTTCCTTCCATCCACCCCTTCCTTCCTTCGACCCACCCCTCCCTAATCTCCTTCCTCCTACCCAGTCCTTTCCTTCTTCCACCCACCCGTTCCTTCCTTCCTTCCACCCACCCACCCCTTCCTTTCACCCACCCTTCCTTCCTTTCCACCAACCCCTTCTTTCCTTCCTTCATTCCACCCCTTCCTTCCTTCCACCCACCCAGGGGCGGACT